GGGGGGTGGGGGGGGGGGGCAGGACAGGCTGCTTTGCACAATGTGCCAGATAGCTTCTCGGAAAAAAAAAAAATAGAATAAAAAACATTATTTTCTTCCCTCAGCTGCAAAGAGAAAATCAAACTAATTTAACAATCGAGTGTTGCATTGAAGAAAGGTATATAGATCCGCACATTTGTCAGACTGCGCTGGTTTTTTACTGCAGGCTTAATTTATATCGAACTTAAGCAGGAATCCTGTTTGAATATAAACCGGAGGAGTGACTGACAAGACGCTAAATGCTGATATGAACAGGCATCATGCAAGGATTTGCAAAACTGTAACATCAGGGGTGGCTTGTGCGGTATTGCTTCATGGGGGAAATCCCCTTAGCGAGAGTCCGTCAGATACAGGTGCTGGCAAGTTAACTGTGTTTTATGCTTGCGGCTTGACAAAAGACATGGAGGTCTTCAATTAAGTTTTCCTTTGATTATTTTATGCCTCTATCCTGACAAAGGTAGTCCGCATCTCCATGGTAACCCTTCAATAGATTCATTTATCTACGCTTAAATCTATGTGCCAGTCGAAATTCTAAAATTTTAAGTTGGCTCATTATAATTTTTAGCTTGGCAAGCTCCAGTATCAGAACAGAATAGGACGTATACCGTGGAAAATATTATATCTTGAGTGGGAATGTGTCTGTGCGGCACAGTTTCCATTAAAGCAACGTTGGAGCTAGATATTAAAGCAGAAACTAGCCAGTTCCTATAGGTGACAGCTTTAAGGTTTCACCTCATTCTACAGCTTTTCTCCTGACTGATTTTGCACTGAGACAAGCAGTCTGTCTCTGTAGGATTACATCAGCACCCCTCCCACCCCACTTGGGCTTTTGACGGGAAGGTTGCTGACAGAGCTCAGACTAAGAGCAGAGTTAATGAGCAGGGCACAGGATGGAGAAACAAGGGGAAATGAGGGACAATTGTAAGGAAGAGAGGGATGGAGTGAGAAAGGCCAGGAGGGACTATAACATCCAAGTGTGACCCATAATTTGTAGTGTTTAACTGACATAAATACACTCCCTGAGATGTCGTCCGGTAAGGCCTAGCGAAAGCGTGGCCCTTTGTGGTAGCTGGCTGTGTACAGAATCCTGCACAAAATGACGTTTCTGTTTTTAGCTACTTGAAAAAGACCACATAAACTGCCGCCATTAATGGCAGCCTTTAATCAGAGCTCCAGGAAAAGCCAGGTTGCAGTGAAGATAATGCTAGTTGGCGTCTTTGTTTCTGGCCAATTAAGCCTACTGCCTGATGGGAACTCTGTACTGTAGCGGTACTATCTAGCAGATTAATCGTTAAAACTTAGGTAGTGACACGGGGATCTTTAAAGATCCTATAAAGCGGTTTCAGGTGCTTTAGCTGAGTGCCTCAGTCTGAATTTCAAATGAACACCTAGTCATACCATGCTGTTAGCTCAATTTTCTTTAAGGATCCATGTGGTTAGTCTGCCAAAGACCTCTTACAAGGACAGGACTGACCTTTCTCATTAGCAGAAGGCAGGGGGGGAAACGCCTTACTTATTCACTACCTCCATAAGTTGATTCTTCGAAGCCCTCAGTTGTAATCTCTGCAGCATGTAATATGTCTCCTCTCTGTTAGTGCTTGTCATGATATGTTTTCGAAATGAAGTTCTCCCTCTTCTCAGCTGGTAACTCACTTAGTATGCTTGCTTGTATCATTGAATAGACTCGTCTGTCGGGGAGCTGCGGCATGACCATGTGTGTGCTTTTGTGTCCTGTCCAGAGTGCAGCAGCGGCCCCCAGCCCTGTCCTAGGGAACATCCCTCCTGGAGATGGAATGCCAGTTGGGCCTGTCCCGCCAGGATTCTTCCAGGTACAGTGGGCACAGCCAATGGTCTCTGACACTGGACGTCCCAGGAAATGACACGATACCCCCATAGTCACACACCCATATTCCCATTTTCCAATACACATTCACAAACTATAAAAATGCTTATATCTGCATGAACAGGTGCACAATCAGCTCATTCTTTTTCTGACATATAAACATATGGACCACAGAACTGGGGGCCTGGGCCTGGGTAACTTTCGGAGCATTAAAAATGAGGTGATGAACAATTGAGAAAAAATATCTGCAAATAATTTAATACAAGCCAGTACAATTAATTATTAACAGCCTGAATTATATCTGTGTTTTTTCTTAGACAGAAATGTCATTTTTAGAGGAAGGATAATTGATTATTCAATGAATGTTGTGATTTGATATCTACTATCCAACCATAGTTATTAAAATGAATGTAATAGCAGCATTAGCCAAATCTCAACATGCATCATGAGACATATTAT